AAATGAGCAGGACCAAGATCCCCTGGAACCTTGTTCTGACACTCCTTTGCTCTTCATGGAAGTGCCATCCTTTGTGTCTTTTGTTGGTCACTTCCTATTCTCCATCCAGGTCGTAGAGACATTACCTGTCTGCCTGATAGCTCTCCCAGGAGAGGCTGGCCTAGATGCCCCTGCTGCATGCTCTCAGCTCACAGCGTGCAGGTACACCCTGGACAAGACATTTTCATTACCACTGTGTCTTTTACATGATTAGCCTGTAAAGGAGACTGAAATGATTCTGTTACATGCTGAATTGTGTTCCCAAAAATGAGCTCTTGAATACCTAATCCTCTGTACCTGTGAATATGCAATGCTTTAATGAGAAATAGATTCTTCACAAGGGTAATCAAATTAAGATAATATCATACTCCATTAGGTTGGACCCTAATCCAACATGACCGGTGTCCCAATAAGAAGAGAAGAAACAGATACACAGATGAATAAAAGGAAATGGTCACAAGTGATGTGGTGGTCACATGGAACCAGGGAGACAGTCTTCAAGAGGCAGAGACAGCGGCTGCTTCTAGGAGCCCAGGAGTGCCCACAGGTCAGGCAAACTGCCAGACGCTGAGAAGAGGCCAGGAAGGACTGAGTCTCCCCAAAAGGTATGAGAGGGGATGGGCGCTGCTAGCACCTAGGTTTTGCTCCTCTACCCTTGAGAACTGTGAGACAACATACTCCTGCGGTTGGCATAGCCAGCAGTCTGTGAAGTCCTGTTACAGCTGCACAGACGTGGAGGCAGACACATCGTGAATCCTTGGCAGTCTGCACATGCACTGCCTGGAATGTACGAATTTAAGTCGAGCTAAAGTGAATGGTACATCGTTCAGAGTTAAGTTAAAAGCAGGGCAAATGTGTTTTCCTGAAGAAACATACTCTCTTTCTCATCAATAACTTCAGTCAGTCCTCCATCTAAACACTGGGCCTTCCATCTCTCCCGGCCCCTAGTCCTGTGGGGAAAAGTGAAAGTGAAAGTGAAAGTGAGCCCTGTCCGACTCATTTCAACCACATGGACTATTACTAGGCTTCTCCATCCATGGGATTTTCCAGGCAAGAGAACTGGAGTGGGTTGCCATTTCCTTCTCCAGGGGATCTTTCCAACCCAGGGATTGAACCCGGATCTCCCGCATTGTAGGCAGACACCCTTCCATCTGAGCCACCAGGGAAGCCCAGTCCTGTGGTGAAGTGACTTAGAATGTAGCCGCGGGTATGGTACCCTGTCAAAATCTGTAGACGCCTAATTCAGTCCATCCTATAGACCGGTGTAATCATACCCTTAGTTTCTCCTATGATTTACCCTACCATCCCAGGCAGACATCAGACTGCCTTCCACCAAAAGGGGTACTTGGGGACCTCATCTCTCCAAGATTACTTTGTGGTAGGTGAGATGCTGTTAAGTCACTTCAGTCGGGCCTGACTTTTTGCAAACCTATGGACCATAGCCCACCAGGCTCCTCTGTCCATGGAATTCTCCAGGCAAGAATACTGGAGTAGGTTGCTATGCCCTCCTCCAGGGGGTCTTCCCAACCGAGGGATTGAACCTGCATCTCTTAAGTCTCTTGCATTGCAGGTTCTTTACTACTACAGACTTAAATTTCCCAGGCGGGGTAAAGTGCCACCTCATCTGTAGAAATGGGTAGCATACACTGTAAAGAGGCACATTGTAGCTGGGATTCAGATTTATGGTTTTCCATAAAGAAAACCTGTTCATCACCCTCAAGAAATCCATTTACAAGTGTCTACAGACTTCAGAGAAACTTTTCTTTTCCCCTTTCTTTTGAACCTCAAATGATCTCTCTGAGCCACCAGGGAACTCCCCACCCACCCACCCACCCAACGATCTCTCAGGGAGTTCTAAACGAGGAAGACCTATGGGACCACTTGGCCCCAGATCCTTATTTTAGAAATGCACAGTCAGGCCGAAGCACTCAGCCAACCGGCACAAGGAAGAGAAGAGAGGACCCAGGTTCCGTGCTTCCCAGCGTTGTTTATGCTCTCTGTGCTATGCCCTCAGGAATGCCTCTGAAAAGTGTGGGAACCAGTAGCTTTGTGCTTTTAAAACCCACAGTGAGCATGTATCCCCCACCCTGTTCACACTGGACATGTACACCCATGGCTGATTCATGTCAGTGTGTGGCAAAAACCACTACAATATTGTAAAGTAATTAGCCTCCAATTAAAATAAATAAATTAATTAAAAACAAACCAAAACAACAACAGAGTGAAACACAGCACGCCTTCTCTGGCCATCCCCACCCTCCGTCCCTCCCGTGTGCCCCCCCCTCCTTGAAGCACTTTGTCACACCTATCCTGTGCCAGAAGTCACTCTCATTTAAGAACGCTTAACATTCACAAACAATAAAAATGTATTTGATTACTGCTATATTATGCATTCAACATTTTTGTCAGTTAAATATGAGAATTATATAATTCAGCCTACACAGAAGTTGACTTTTATTTCTACAAGTATTTTTAGGAAAACAGAAACCAAACCAAACACCTATTTCAAAGAATTCCTCAATCATGCACAAAACAGCCTACCAATTTTGGGGCATAACATAACTCAGAGGCCTTGATGCCTTTAGCATCACATCAGCAAAACAGCAAACTTTAATATAAGTAAACATTCATCTTTAGCCATTCCTGAACAAATAGCAAATATAAATCCCGAGAGAAATCTTTCCAAAGAGGGGTAGAGCATTTCATGTAAATGAGACACATGAATCAGTCATACATAGTGTATTATTATATTTATATTATTTTGGGGACTTAAATTTGTCAAACTATATTCAATGTGTGTATATATATATATATATATATATATACTTTAATAAAAATAGGATTAGTCTGTGCTTGTCTATTAAATTCATAATATAAAATATATATCTAAAAACATAAACATTCATAGAAAAACACACATATAAATTTATAGCAAAAAAGTCCCAAGGAAAATCTAATAATAAAATATCAATAGCAATCTCTGGATTGTGGTTTATACATGACCTTATATTTCTTCACACTTTTGTTTCCTTTAAATTTCCTGTAATTAGCATTGATTACTTTTATTACAAAAATAAAAACAGGGTTTCAAGCAAAACAAAAGCAATATAAAGTATCCAATTAATGTTTCAGTGATATAGATTATTGCTGCACCAGAAGGTTTTGCTTGCTTCCTGAGTCTTGACTATTAGTTTCAGGATTTATTTTCTAGCAGGTCATGAAATTCTCACATGCTCCTTCCTTCTATGTAATATATATAGAGTTAAAAGTATCTACCCCAGATTTTTGTTGCAAAGAATTAAAAGACATGATATCTGCAAACTCTTAGTTCAGTTCCCAAAGATGACAAGAGCTGAGTAATTGATGCCATGACCAAAAATCCTATTATTATATGTCACACCCATCACTCAGCAGACACTGATCTCTTTTGCCTCATTCTGTAACCAAATCACTTCCTCCATTTTTTCAAATTGTGGACTAGGGACAAATTACATCAGAATCACTTGAAAAGCTCAGTAAAATGCATTTACTGAATTTAGAATTTCTGACTCTGGGAAGTCTATTTTTAACATTATTCCCCAGAGATTCATATGTTAATTAAATTTGGGAAATAACCAAGATCTACTGAGAAGTCTACTTCTTGACCAGGTTGTTGAACATTACAGGCTGGCATAACCATGAAAAGAAAACAGTAACACGGTTTCTAATTACGTTATAGGGCCATTGAGAAGCAGCTAGCATACATTTTGGAGAAATGAAGTATTATGGAAATGGAATGAAATGACACACAATTCCGTGTAACTAGCATTTTCTGCAGAAAAAGTGTGGTCCTTTGTATTCAGATGGGCAAATTATTGCTAACTGCCCTTTATCACTGTTGGCAACGGTTTGTTTACATTTCTCCCTGTAACGCTGCACGCTATTTTCCCTGATTTTACTGCTTCATGAACGACGATGACTAGGTCTTATTTCTCTGAGTATCCTGGGTCCCCAGGACAGTGTTTGGCTGTGGAGAAAGTGCCACAGATGCGATGTGGTTACCCAGGTGCAGCAGAACCTGGGGCCTAAGGACCCAAAGATTCCTACTTTTCTGCTTCATTCCACAATTCTGCTGGCATCTGCAAAGGCCAGTGCTCAAAACAACACACCAAAAATGTGTATGTGCTGATTAACAATATTCACAACAGAGTACTCATATTGTTATATTTTTAAATAACTATTACATCAGGTTGTGCTGTGGAATTGGTTTTGTTTTTTAAATAAATTAGTAATCACACGCTGTTTCCATATAGTAATTGGCTCTCAATATGTCTTTAGACATGTTTAGGAAGAAGTTACAAGATGTTATGAGATTGCCAAGGAAAATAGTTATCCCAGGTTTTGATTAGGCATCTGCAGGATAACTGGTCAGTTGCACTAACATAGATGATTTTGCTTAATCCCCCCAACTCTGAGAAGTAGAAACTACTATTTCCTCTTCACTGATGCAGAAAGGAAGCTCAGAGAGAACCTGAGTCACGCAGTCCTCAGGGAAAGACCTGAATCCAGCTTCCCCACTTCCTGAGTCAGGGCTTTCCATTGATTTTGTTTTTTGCCTTTTTTGTTTATTGGGTTATTTTCCTTTTCTTTTTGTTTTTGACTTTAAAGAGAGAAATGACCTTGGTCAGCTCTGCAAAACATGCTTGATAATTAATCCTTGGTTCAGTGGAACCTTGTCAAGACCCTTATCACATTCTCCTCTCTCATGAAAATAAAACAGCTGCTAATTCCTATGATTTACCTAAAAATACAACCTCCCCTCTGAAGTTGGTCTTGATTTATTTTTTACATTTTATTTATACAATGTTCCCTTCCGGCGGGTCTTCTTCTCCTGTGTGCCGTCACGTAGCGGCACGGCACGTGCGTGGGCATCTCACGCCCTTACCTGTGATGTTGCAGACATGGGGATCTCACGCCCTTACCTGTGATGTTGCAGAACACCCGGAAAGGCCCCAGGGGCCCGCTGCCGTCGGAGTCAACGTAGAAGAAGCCCGCGGCGTTGCCTCGGTGCCTGTACACCTCGCAGGACTGCTCATACAGGGCTGCAAAGACACAAAGGCAGCAGACAGGAGACGGTGCTTGGCTCTGCGTGTCCCTTTGGAGGATCAGTAACTCTTACTTATTGTATTGACTTCCACTTGTGGTTTCTTTCCCTTTTCGTCTAATCTTATTTCCCTCTGAGCCTTCACAAACCAGTACTCCCATGTTTGATGGAACTGTCTCCTGCGTTCATCCTGATACCCGTTCTTCTCAACAGCTCCTGGGTTACGGTCTCTAAAAGGTCTCCCCTCCGCTCTCATACAGCCCTCCCCTATGCTGGTGGATTTGTCCTTCACCTACACTCACACAGCTGTGAAGCTAGGACATCATACACTATTCTGCCTCCTGCAATGGTTACAGGATCTAAGGGGAGACTGAGTGCAGTTTGCGGCTGTGTTTCATCATCGAGCAGGCTGTCACACTCACAATGGGAGACAAAAAATTAAAAATGTACAAACAATAGATGCTGGAGAGGTTGTGGATAAAAAGGAGTTCTATGACCCTGTTGATGGGAATGTAAAAGGCTTCCCTGGTGGCCGAGGTGGTAAAGAATCAGGCTGCAATACAGAAGACTCAGGTTCTATACCCAGGATGGGAAGATACCCTGGAGAAGGGAATGGCTACCCACTCCAGTATTCTTGCCTAGAGAATCCTATGGACAGAGGAGCCTGGTAGGTTATAGTCCACAGGGTCACAAAGAGTCAGACACAACTGAAGAACTAAACTTTGACTTTCGTGAGGGAGAACAGAATGGAGGTTCCTTAGAAAACTAAAAAATAAGTTCTAAAAATAGAGCTACCATAGGATGCAGAAATCCCACTAATAAAGCAAATTGCCACATCTTATCTCTGCATACCTGGAGCTCAGAACAGTAACCATCGCCCTAGGCGCCTGCAGGGAAAGAGGAACTCAGCCAAGACGGCTCGGTCAGGCTCTCTCGCCCCGTGGCTTCTCGCCCGCGCCCCACGTTCTGTAAAGAATGATTACGTGAAAGCTGAGATCACGTGCATCGCTCCACATGCGCATCAGGAGGTGCTCACTTGGGCACGGGTGGCCGTGCACGGTACACTTGTATGAGCTTCACCAGGAAAGCCCTGCTCTGGCTGCTGCCACATCGAGGCTACGCTGGAGTGACGGCATGGTTATGTCACATGAAGCTATGCTGTGGTTCCGTTACGGCTACATTGTGGTCAGGTTACGGCTGCTGCTACAGATGCTGTGTCAGCCAGGAGAGAGGCTGCATTATGACTGCCATGCCAGCCAGGAGAGAATGAATGTGTCTACAGTTCCTACGGCTCCTGGAGTCTCCTTCCAGCCTCTTAGCTCACACCTTCTCCCGGAGTCTCCTTCCAGCCTCTTAGCTCACACCTTGCCTATCCTGGATTCAGCAAACAGTGCTAACAGTGTGAACAGCAAGACAAGCGTCATCACAAACAGGAACATCAAAAATACAGTGCCCAATAAAGTTTAATTCAGTTTGACTTAAGAAGCATGTACTGAGTCCTTCATATATGTCAACACGGCAGTAACCACCGAGTTACAGACCAAGGATAAGGCAAAGTGTCTGTGCCTTGGGAGGTTACAACCTGATTACAGCCACAAAGACCCTTACGTGCTCAGAGAGAGGCAGACACAGCTGTCCTGAGATGGGACACTTCGAGCAGTCTGCAGGTAAAAGAAATTTATAAATCTCATTACACCAGCATGAATGAAGCTGGTGGGGTGGAAAGCAGGCATCTGCTGTCTCATGCATGAGAAAACAGAATGTCATCGGATGCTTGAAACAAAATAACATAGCTCAGAGCAGTAGGTACACATCCAATTAAGTCATCCTCCATGCTTAAAGCACTTCAGTGGCTCCTAACAACTTTAAAGGCAGAGCAACAACTCCTCACCTTAGACATCATGCCCCTGTGACTAATGCCCCGTCCCCGGAACACGAAGCTGCAGTTTGTCACGATCAAGTGTGAGGGCTGCCTCAAATAATTCATCACCAATAAAGTTCTAAAGCTTCAGAGGCTTTGACTTTGTATAAATTAGAGTGATTTCAAGGAGATCCTTGTTCTCATGTAATTCTCCCTTGCAGTCATGTACCGTTTCCAAAGCTAGGGGCCGACGGGAAGATGAAAGCTTGCACCCTACATACTAAGCATGACATACAGCTTATTTCTATTGGCTTAAACTGATAACACACCAGGGTGTGTGTCACACATATGAAAACATGCACAATAACCTCTAAATTAACTCATAATCAGCACTTCTTGAAATCCATACCCTCCCCATGAGTATAGGCTGGAATTACAGATCTGCTTCTAACCAAATATGATGTCATTTTCAAGACCAGATTGTAAAAAGACAAGTAGTTTCCATCTTGGGTGCTTCCAGAGTACAAGCTTTCAGAGATGCCAACTGCTAGGTCCTGAAGAAGCCCTTTGAAGGGATCCACAGGATGAGTCTGGGAGCTTCTGAGGCGTGCTGTGTATGTGACAGCCAAAGATCTCCAGAGTTAAACACCGGTGGTGACAAACAGCCCATTAAGACTGAACCAGAACTACTCAGCCAAGTAGCTCAAGGACCCAGAGAAAATATGAAGTGATAATGTCCATTGCCTCCAGTTCTGCCACAATTCATTGTCCAGCAATAGATAGCTAATAAACCCTCAAAGCATTAATGGTCTCACGTGGTTATAGGTATAAAATGAGTCTGTGTCATATAATTGTAGTAAGGATTCAGAGATAATGCATATACGACACTTAGCATGGTTCATGGCACAGGAAGAACCTGATAAATATCATTATCATCATGATTAAGTCATTGCATGCTGTGTTTCCTCCTCTTTTCTTGGTCAGTTTTCTGCTTACGTGATTTTTTTCCCACTTTTTGTCATGACTCAATTAGGGCCTATCAAGGAAAACCAATAGGCCCCCCTTCTGTGCAGAGGCTATGGCATTTATTTCTTAGTTTATTCTTTGGGTATTAAATATCCTATCTCTCCTTATATTTATAGGTTATCTATTTGCTTATCAATGGGAAAGATGAGAACTTATCTTTTTCATCACCTCTTTCCACATGCAAAGAATTTTCTGTTTCCCTATACTTCCAATATAGGAGGATTGCAATTTTAGTTAGATCAATCATCACTGTTTATGGTAAAACAACAATATGCATGATATTCACAAACAGTAAGCATAATAGTGTAGTTGTTTCCTTTCCCAAACAAAATTTGCTTTTTGTTCAAATTAATAATTGTCTCATGATCTGTCATTGGCCTTATTTTTATCTACACATATATCACAAATTTAACTCCAGACTTACTAACAACTCTCCAAAATACGTTCCAAAATATTCAGGTAATAACTACTTTAAATGGATACCTTGGAGAAAGAAAAGCAGAGAGTAGACAGTCAAAAAGCTAAGCCTTTCTGAATATACCATATTTTAAAATTTGACTATGTATTTTAAATAACTAAAAAAACAGATTAAACATATTATTAGAAAATTTGCAATTCCTAAATGTTGAAAGGAAATTAAAATAAATTAATTTATAAATTATTTCAAGTGATATTTAAATTCAGTATTTTATTGTTTACTTTTTATGACCCCAAAAAAGTCAAATACACATTAAGAGCACAAGGAGTAAAAACAAAATAAACCTGACATCACAATCAGTCTCAATAATAGTCAGCATTTGGTAATCTAGTCTTGTCTGTAGTACCTGTATTATCAGTTACCCATGGCTAGATAACAAACCACTACAAAACTGTCTTAAGACAATAATCAGTTCCTGATTCTGCCCTTGATAACTGAAGCTGGGGAGTACTTGGCCAAGCTTGGATGGTCTTTACAGGGCTGCTCAGTTGTCTGAGGTCAGGGCAGAGTCAGAGGAACTTGTTGATCACAAGCTGGGGTACTCGCCCCCAACGTCTCTTGAACGTCAGCAGGCGCATTTCTGTGGTAAAGACTCCAAGAACAATAAGAGAGCAAGTGTTTGCCAGGCCCCTGACTGAATGATGTTTGCCGATACCCCTTTGACCAAAGCGAGTCACTTAGCCAACACAATCCGCACAAAGGGTCCAGGACCTGAAAAGAAATGGGGCTACAGGACAGACATGCACCGCGCCACTGACCTCACAGAGCAGACCACACTGCAGTGTGATGTGAATGTGAAAGAAACATCTCACTAGCAAGGCACCAAGGTTTAGGATTCATTTCTAACCTCAGTCACCCTGCAACTCCTAATGCAAGGTCTCCTTAAGCTTTAGTTCAGTTACTGGGAGGTAACGAGCATTTCTATTAACGGATACTGGAAATGAGTCAAAAACAAGGTCAAGACATACCAGCTGGTAAGCAGTTGTTATATCATTCCTTAATTTATTAGTGGGAACACTTGACACAAGTCAATTATCAGCCATCAATTAGTTGATTTCTCTAAACTACAAGATTGCATGGCAAAAACAAGATACATACTCGATGTTATCCCTTTAATTCATCAGTTGCAAAAGACTGAACTGGTTCCTAGTATCCTCCAAAAATGAACAGTTAGAATATTTTTAGTTTTATTATGAACTCATGGATTTAAGTATGTTTGAAGTTAAAACAATAATATAACTACTAGTAAACAGTAGAGTTTTTCAAATGGTTCTGACCATAAAGAATCTGCATGCAATTCAAGAGAGCTGGGTTCAATCCCTGGGTTGAGAAGATCCCTGGAGAAGGGAACGGCTACCCACTCCAACGTTCTTGCCTGGAGAACTCCAAGGACAGAAGAGCCTGGTGGATCACAGTCCATGGCGCTGCAAAGGGTCTGACATGACTGAGCGACTAACACTTTCCCCATCAAACGGCAGGGCGTAACGATCATGAAAAATTAAACATAATGAAAATCTGAAAATATATTAACTAGCCTTATCATTAACTAATACTGCTAAGGATTTATTAAACTTTATATATATCAAGAAAAAGCTAACAACTAATTATGCTACTGACAACAGACTAAATCTTT